TAGCGTAATTATAACCTAAATTAGCTGAAAATAACCCTAGAACCTAGAGTAAACTCTCCCTTTAACTATTTTCTGAACCAAATAAGTGTAGATATGTAAATAACATATAGGCCTACATATGTATATGGATATGTACATGTTTATCTAAATACATGTTTAAATGTTATTTGAATATGTATTTGTGTCTAAAGACCATGCTAGAGGAATTGCATAGCTTATTCTTATTGACATCAATCGCAATGTCTTGATTTCTTGGGCAGAACAGTTTTCCTTATCAGGTTGTTTAAGGTGATGTACAACAGTAGGCCTAGAAGGCGTTCATACGCAGCATGCCTGAATAAGCATCGAACAAAATTAATTAAAAATACTCACAGTGTTTTGTCGCTTACACAACATACACTTTATTCATGTTAAATAACCACAAATTCAAGCTCTATACTCCGCTCGAAACTTTTGCGGGCTAAATGATGCGCATTTCTACAAAGTAGTCGGATCCCGTTTCAAACACAAAAATGGCCGACCGGTCACCATGGATACGCCATTTGACGAAAAGCCACAATTACGCGACAAGACCAATCGTACTTTTAATACGTTCCAGACGTCAACGGGGCATCTAACTTGCGTGCATAATGCAAATTAGTGCAGCTAAGTGCCGAATTTTACCGAAAATAAATTCAATAGAAGGCTTCTCCTAGGGACCCAATAGTGCAAATTGCGGTGAACAATTTGCGGAAGGTTACTGTTGTAAGCCCCCTTTATATCGCGTAGTGTGCCCCTCCTTGGTAACGTCCAGATGCACGAGCACGCACAGTGGTGCTGGCCGTAAGCAACACCTGGGACTCCACTATCAACCGAGCAGTCTTGCTACTGGCTCTACGTACCCCATCGAAAGGACGTTCCGAACTCGTGACAGTTGTTAGACCGTAACAGCGGACGACTGACAGCGTATCACGCGTGCAACCACGCCCCACTTCGCAAGAGTTATCTTACATGAGATAGATAGATAGATAAATAGATAATAGGTTTATTGCAAAACTAGTGTTAACAACGTTACAATTAAAATAAATTTTGCAAACAAGATATCATCAGGCAGTATAAAACTGAAATTGATAGCGTGCGTGCGTGCGTGCGTGCGTGTGTGCGTGCGTGCGTGCGTGCGTACCCGCATGCGTAATACTACTATATATTGGCGTTATTGTCTGGTGGCTTCACCTAGTGGCCGCTAAGAGCTATGCTGTTGGTATATAGTGATCAGTGATCCTAACCGACGACGTTCTGTCCGCCATTTTTGAGTCATAACCGACGACATTCTGTCCGCCATTTTTGAGTCATAACCGACGACCAAAGATCATGAACGATCGTTCATGATCTTTGCGACGACGTTCTGTCCGCTATTTTTGAGTCATAACCGATGCCGTTCTGTCCGCCATTTTTGAGTCATAATCGGAGACGTTCTTTACGTCATGGTTGAGTCCTGACCGACAATGAAACACGATGCGTTGCTTGTTTTTGCAGTTTATGGAAGATGAAGGTCAGGAAGTGGAGAGACCAGCCCGGGAAGCTAGGTATTGATAATCTATGATTCGACACACACACGTCTGGGGTGAATCTCGGTTTCCACCCCTCCACCGGTCTTTACGTCATAACAATATGATATGGAAGCCCTGAAACGAGATCCGACTTTTCGAGTTTCCGAGTTTTCGAGTTTCTGAGTTTCCTAGTTTCCGAGGTTCTGAGTTTCTGAGTTTCCGAGTTTCTTTTCCGAGTTTCTGAGTTTCATCTGCGCATGCCTTTTCATATATTTTATTGTATTCTTATTTTATATATGTTTTATTATTAGGCCTAGTGTTCTGTTGTCTCTGCTTCAGGTGTTTGTGTACGCGTAGAAGAAACTTAGCAACTCGGAAACTCAGAAACTCAGAAACTCGGAAACTCGGAAACTCAAAAAGTCGGATGTCGTTTCAGGGCTTCCATAATATGAAGTATTTGTTCCCGAGTTAACGCTACCGGGGTCTGGTTCCACTGTTCTATATCCCTGATCGCTTTACGGTGGAGTAGATGAGGTTTGAGTCTACACTGTGGTTTACGGTTTTACTGGACTAACTTTGATCAGGACTTTCATTTATTTTCTTTATTATTATTCTTCTTCTTCTTATTATTATTATTCTTTATTATTTTCTTATTTTATTTCCTTATCGAGGAAAATATGCGTTATAATTTATAATGTTTTATTAATACTTAACTATAGGTCATTTCAACGTTGAACGTATCCGCCGTGACAATCGCTACAATTATTTATAAATCATTGAGACTTAATTAAACAGTTAATTAATCGTAAATGAACAATATTTTCAGTACGTCATAAAGAATGACAATCGGCACCATCGTGTTCAAAGAATATTACGAATTAGTTTAAAAAAAAATTAATTAAAAAAAGTTAATCAATCGTCAATTAACAATGTACGCAGCACGTCGCCGAACACGAACCCGGGCACGCGCCGACGCAGCTCCGTTGTCTTCATCCCGCCTAGCATGCAGATCTGTCCAGGAGACCTGTTCGTACCGGCCGCGTACAGCCGCACACTGACGCGAGGCTACACGCTATCCGGGTCAGCCGCGGGACCAATGTACCAGCTGCCCGTGCCGCTAGGTGCGTTACTATCGTAGTACGTGTGTGCCTACGCAGAGGTGAATAACAGAGAGAAAGAGGGATAGAGAGAGAAAGAGAGAGAGAGAGAAAAAAAGAAGAAGATATATATATATATATATATGGATAGATAGATAGATAGATAGCTAATTAAATAGATAAATAGATAGATAGATAGATAAATAGAATAGGATAGATAGAGTAGATTAGATAATAGATTAGATAGATAGAAGATAGATAGATAGATAGATAGATAAATAGATAGATATAGTAGATAGATAAGATAGATAGATGAGATAGATAGGATAGACCAGATAATAGATAGATAGGATAGATAGATATATAATAGATAGATACTATAGAAGATAGATAGATAGATAAGATAGATAGATAGAAGATTTTTGGGTATTTTTCTTTCAGCCAGGGTCACCGAACTGATCGCTTATTTCCGACGGGCCAACGGCCGGTCCTGCTAGTTGGTGATAAACTTTTAGATTTATGATTGCCGGTTATTACTCCTTCGCTCACGTCACGCCACAACCTCTCACCCTCACCCTCACACTCACTCTTACCCTTACCCATCAACTCTTCACTCTACACCCTCACCCTCACCGTCATCCTCACACTTTCACCCTTACTTCTCACCCTCACCCTCACCCTCAAACCCGGCCACCCGGCGGGCTCACCTCACCTCATGCCCACCCTCATCCTCACCCTCACTCTCACCCTCCAATTCTTTAACGCTCAAACCCTCAATGCCTCACCTTCTCACGCATCCTCACCCTCACCCTCACCCTCACACTCACCCTTACCTTACCCTCGACACCACCTAACCTTACTCTTAACTCTTTACCTTCAACCCCACCCTTCACCGTCATCCTCGACCCTCCGAGCCTTAACCCTGCCACCTCACCCTCGACCGCTACCTCTGCACCCTCAACGCCTCCTTCTCACCCTCAACTCTCACCCTCACCCTCATCTCACGCCACAATCCTTATCCTCCACTCACCTTCACCCGTCATCCTCGACCCTTACGCGCTCAACCCTCCATCCTGCCTCATCCTCATCCTTACCCTCAACCCGGCACCTCACCCTCAGCCCATCGACCCTCACTCCTCACACTCACCCACGCCTCACCCTCGACCCTCACCCTCACCTCGTCACCTCAGGCCCCGCCGACTTAAGCGTGGTGGGGGCCCGGCACGAAGTTGGGGGGGCCCTATAGTCTGTTATTTTTTCTCGCACTTTCATGCTTGCAAAATTCAGAAGAGTATTTCATCGTGTTTCAAAAACTGAATTTAAAATGTCACTTTCGTAGCGAGAAACTGAAGTTAGCCAGTCTCTGCTTTGGCTCCTCTGGTTCTCAATGGTGATTTTTAATCAACTTGAGTTTGAAAATGTACCTTGTTCACACGCTACATAGTTCGAGAACCATCATGAAAGATGAGATTCATTCAGTGAGCATTTCGGTAATTAGGGAAGGTCCTTTTCAGCTGAAGCAGCAAAAATCAGTCAGAGAAACAGCATGGGAAACGGATCACTTCAACGTTACAGATTGACTAAGAATTTTTGGGATCTTACAATTAACGAGCGAGTTTTGTAAATTTAGGATACCCGTTACTCTAGAATGTGGGGGGCCCCAAATTTGGGGGGCCCGGGGCAACGTGCCCCCGTGTTGCCCCGCCCTTAACTGCGCTAGTGCTCACCGCTCACCCTCACCCTACACTCTCACCCTCACCGTCATCCTCACCCTCATCCTCAACCCTCATTTCTACGCCTCACCCTCACCTTCGATCCTTCACGCTCACTTCACCCTCACCCTCACCTCATCCTCACCCTCATTCCTCGCCCTCATCCCACCCTCACCTCACCCTCTACCCTCACCTCTAACCCTCACCCTCACCCTCACCCTCACCCTCTAACCCTGCACCGCTTTCACCCTCAACCCTCATCCGTCAACCCTATCCTCTTCACTCTTACCCTCAGACCTTTAACCTCATCCCCCTCATCCCTTGTCCGCACGGGTGATTTTCACTCACACAGCTGGATACCGCTTGTGTCGGCGAGGGGCAGGTGCGCTTCACGCGGGTCAGCGAGCGGGCAAGGATGTCCCGCCTGTATTCAGTGTGTACGAAGTACAGGTGGAGGTGGCCTAGCAAGCATTATCACTGATTGATGTGCTGCTGAGAGCACACGGCGCTTTCCGCCTGCAGGGACCACCGTGCACAGCAGCAGAAGAAATGAGTTTCTTTTCTGTGGTGAAGACTTTCTAAGGTGGTGTCTACAGGTCGGCTATGTAGTACATCATGACACGTAATTGGCGCCTGAATTCAGTACGGTAAGCTACATTCTTTATGCGTCGTGCGTGCGTGTGTACTTATCCATCGGTATACATGCAGCAGAGCTGAAGCTGTGATACCCGTGCACCGTATTCATGGCAGTCTTGTGATGCGAACGCATCAACAATTATAGTCGTAGTACGATGATGAAATCCGCGTCTATTAGCGTCTTTTCCGTTCGATGACGAAAGAGTCGAAGCATGCACTTGAGAGTGGGTTCGGAGAGGCGTCGCGGCGTGTTTGTGCGTGTATGTGTCTGCGTTTTGTGTGTGTGCGCGAGCCGTGTGTGTGGTGCAGGGCGGATGCAGGATTTTGTCTAGGGGGGTGGGAGGTGCAGTTCTGGAAAGGCAGCTTGGAGATTTTGTTAAGGGCAACTGAAGCGGCCGCCTGGCTCCGCCGCTTCGTGCGCGAGACCGGCGGTGCGAAGGAACGGTGGGGCGGTTCCGGGGGGCCTCCCCAGAACATTTTTATAAAGTCCACTCCTTTTTTATGGTCATTTTTCAGAGCATATGGAGGCGAATTTTTGTAGCTTCAAGTCTTGTCATAGCAATGAAAGCAGACAATTCCAGTACAAGGCAAAAATCCACATAGAATACCATGCTTGCTTGAAATTAACTGTCCTATCAACAGGAGCGACAAAATACTGAAGTACCTACGCCGGTGAAATGCAAACTGCGACTAAGGATTAACACACAACTTTATTACAAAAGAAAATTAAAAATCATTACATGTACTATCTATATGCTTTCGTTTCATACACTTTACTAATAAACTGAACTTCAACATTTGAATTCAATGGACTGATAATTATCTTACTTAAAACATACTCCAGTATTACTCTTGCCACAGGGGCGTGTCTACAGGATTTGGTACCAGGGAGGGGTCAACCAACGTAACCCCAAAATGGGAGCCACGCGAAGGGGGGTCTGGGGGAAATGTTTCTAAAACTTTTGAAGATTAGATTTCCCTCAGATGCGTTTTCTGCCGCGAGCTGGTGGGGGTCCGGACCCCCTGGACCCCCCACCCCGTACAAGCCCCTGTGCAGTAGTACTACTTTTACCAAAGTTGAGACAAATGAGTGGGCTCTTGCCAGAGAGAATATCAGTAAAGTACTACAAGTACGTTTTAAGTAAAAAACATGCACAAGTAAATCGAAAACTTATTCAGAATGAAATTTTGAAGCAAAATAGAGGGGCTTATTACCGCCAGGAGGGGTACCGTATCAATAACAAAGTAATGCAACGGTGGCGTCAGCCTGGCGCGGCAAATTTTTCTGTCCGCAGCCCAGAAACAAGTCGAGGTCGGGCCCCCCGTCCCCCCTAAAAACTCCCTCGGAAAACATCAACTTATTTTTCAGTATGTTTTTTCTGCTTAAAAATACTATACTCTTTTTTTTTTTAAATTTGAGAAACAAAAATTTTCCGTCGGGCCAGAAAAAAGCGGGCAACTCAAAATTTTAGTGGGGAGGGTGCGCACTCCCTCAACCCCCCCCCTGGATCCGCCCCTGGTGTGTGTGTGTGTGTGTGTGTGTGTGTGTGTGTGTGTGTGTGTGTGTGTGTGTGTGTGTGTGTGTGTGTGTGTGTGTGTGTTTGAGCGTGTGTTTCCACATCTCCGTTAGCGCAGTGTTGAACACACGCCTCGCCGCTCTTGATGCACCCTAACATTGCGTCGCATTTTCTGTTTGAAACGCAGACTTCAATGGTTCTACACAGAGCTTGCCCTCTGAAGGTATTATAGCCTGCCGAGTGAATCATACTAATTATTCACCTCGCTAATCAGTTCAAGCACTTACTGTGTTGATATTCTCATCATTTCTTTGCTCAAAGACTGAAAAGGAAATCTTTTGTTGAAAACACACAAAAAGTTCAATGACGTCCACGCGATTTATTTTCGTGGGAAACGCTCCTTGATTGAGGATAAATCTCGATAATCTGGCTATTAGCTATTAGAAAAACTCGATCAAGGCTTCGGAGAACTTTCCCTCGTTTTGATTTCGCTCGTTTTTCGTGTTTTCCGTAGTAGTTCCCAGCAAAATGCGTCCATTTTTTTCTCTCTCGGTAAAATAATTGCTGGGTTATACTATGTTGACTTGATAATGATGGGAATATCTGGAGGTATGCACGCGTGCTACTGCGTTGTCGGTGTTTAATGTATATTGTCGTGTGTCCGTGCTCCTATATCTCATAAATACCATCTAATAAGACGAAAGACACGAGCTTCTGTAAAGGGCTGCCGATTTGCTTTCTCTCTCTCGAGTCGATTAAATGTGGATAAACAGGCGCCACGCACATCTGTCGGTACGTCCCCGTACAGCTTACTACACCCCGATTGGTTTGTAAGTGTCTTAAAGGGATTTTCGTAGAGGACAGCAAGTCTACAGTGCGTGTGCGCCACGCACTCTCGACTCTAGATACTTTCAAGCGAGTCGATCAGGCAAATCAACAGCTTAGACTGGAGATCGTAATAATTGCGTTAGATGGTATACCTTATTATTTCTAATTACTTTTCTTTCTCTCTCTTTCTCACTCTCTCTCTTCCTCCTTTCATTTCTTTCTCTGTTTCTGTCTTTCCTATACACTCTCTCTCTCTTTCTCTCTCTCTCTCTCTCTCTCGTTTTCTGTCCACTCTCTCTCTCTCCTATTCTTTCCCTCCATTTGCCTTCCCCTTTCTCGCTCGTGCTCGCAATCTCTTTTTATCTTTCTTTTTATGCTTGCCATTTTCTCTCTGTTCTGTCTTCTTCTCACTCTCTCTCTCTTTCTCTCTGTTCGTTCCTTGCATTTCATTTGTCATTCGCGGCTGAGATTCAGTCTGTAAATGTCGTCATCGTGCATACACTCGCACCGATTGTGTTTTGCATTGGAAAACAGTCATGCCATGTGTGTGTATGTGTGTTTATTTTATGGCTATTCGTATTTTTAGTTTCGAGTTCTTGTATATCTATCGCCGCGCGACACTATTCTTACTGCATCCGTATATACGATACTTACTCGTTTGCAATCGTAAAAAGTCTTGCAATCTCATATATTATTGTTATTATTATTGTTATTATTATTATTATTATTATTATTATTATTATTATTATTATTATTATTATTATTATTATTATTATTATTATTACTCTATTATTATGTATAAAGTCGAGGGAGTGCTGTACACTACCGTGACTGTTATAACCGTATAACGTTATAGGCAGCAGCATTGAGGCGAAAAGACCGTGAGCACGCGAAAGATGCAACAACAATGTTGTTAAGAGCGCGGAAAAAATTAAACGTGGGCCACACGCAAGCAGCTAGCAGACAGACAAGAAAATTTGCATTATTTCGCGTCACACGAGAAAAATATCATCGCTCTTAAAATTGTACTCTGGCGTTCAGCGATCTTTTCCCTATGCGTGCTAGCATGTCACACCGTGGTCGCATGCGCGTTCGTTCCTCTACGTGTCCTACAGTAAAGAACATTCGATCACTAAGCGCGTGTGATCGTATAGGTACGCGCGTCGGTGTTATTCGTCTTCACGGCCGTGTTTAACTGAGCTAGCCGCCTGAAATGATTGGCCGCAAGCTGTAAACCGGAGACGTTCTGAAAACGCGTCTTAGTAACAAAGCTAGCAAAGTGGACAATTTGACGTGCACGTGTAAAAAATATGCATGCGTTGGTCTAGCCTGACCGACATAGCGACAATGTCCGATTGGGAGCGCGGTCATCTCGCTCAGCCGTGTAGGTCGAGTCTGTCGCAAGAATGTTCTATTTGATCATTTTTGGTCTTGTTCTTTTTGTTGTCGGCCCGCGTCAAATGCCTCGAAAAAGCTCGTTTAATTAGTAACAAAAATGACAAAAATATTTGCGATTTTGATTCGTAGCGGAAACCGCCCTCCTGTTAACCGTACAAGCGTATCTCGTAGATATCTTATACATTCATACATAATAGCAATATATAGTATGAGATCAGGCGTGTGGCCGCGTGGCGTCCTGCCGTGCGGGTGTAGCGACACCACGTACATGTCATACGAATCGCGGTTTGATTCTCTTGTTTGTCCTCGTCACGCGTCATCTACGGCTCCAGCAGACACGCGTACGGAAACCATCAACGAGAATTAAATCCTAATCCACCGCGGATTTAGTTCTGTAATCCGTCCGCGCGAGGGCGCTCACCGCGCTGCCCCCGCTATGCGTACTACCACATCGCGTATACATTATCCGTTAGTCGGTGGTACTACTCTCACACCTTATAATCGCGTTCGCGTTGTTTTCGCGTCAAGGTAATTTCTGCTTCAAAGCGGCGGCAGTCGATAGGCAGCTTGTGATGGCATAGCGAAGCAGCCATGGCGTAATATCACGCATCAATACTTAAAGCCCGATTGCTATAGACAGAGACGGGGTCGATAATAAATCTAAAACTTAAATCTTAAATACTATCCTTTGCACTTTTAGAGTCGCGAGCAACGACGCCAAAGGCAAAATCAAGCCCGTGGTCCCTCTTAAAGCTGGTGAGTATTAGAAAACATCCGCTAATTAAATTATCCGATTCTGCTGAAAATATAATCATAACCTGACTAATTATTATTAATAATTATATATATATATATTTATGTATGTATATATATATATATATATATATATATATATAGTTATATATTATATGATGTTTTTGTTTACTTACTATTGTTAAATGATATAATATTATAATGATAGGGCTGTGTTCCAATGTCCTCACATTACCTGCATGTTCCTCACACACTCTCTCTCTCCTCCGCCCGCAGTGTTGTCTGCATGGCCCATTGTATGGTGACGTTACCGCACACCCACAGCTTTGCCGTGGTGGATACTATCCCATCTGCGTCTGTTACAGTTTGAGAAGTCTAGTAGAACCAAGGACGAGATCGGCCTAGAAGGCTTTCTGAACACTCTCAAGCAAGCAGAATTCCTGGACACGCAACTAGCGCTGTATAAGGTGGCTTGTTAGATTCACGAACGGTTGGGAAAGAGAGTGGGATATGATGACAGGAAGAGCGAGGGAAAAAGAGACAGAGAAAAGTAGAGAAAAGAAGGAAGATAGAGTGAGAGGTAGAGAGAAAGAGAATAGAGTGTGTGTGAGAAAGAGAGAGAGAGAGAGAGAGAGAGAGAGAGAGAGAGAGAGAGAGAGAGAGAGAGAGAGAGAGAGAGAGAGAGAGAGAGAGAGAGAGAGAGAGAGAGAGAGAAGAGGGTAGAATGGGCGCAGCATCAAGAAAGAGAGGAAATTTAAGACAACAGTTGCTCTAGTGACCTTATAGTGACGTCACGGATGACTTGATAGATAGATCATGCGTTGTGATGATGGTGATTGACCGACCGTGCGCAATCAAGCTGACGTTCAATATAGTTCACCTGTGAGAGAATGCTACAATTTATTCCATACATACACATACATGCATATATACATACATTAAAAAACATACATACATCAGGCCCGAGCCCAGGGGGGGTCGGGGGGTTCGAACGAAAGGGGTTCAATACCCCAAGCACAAAATTTGTTTGGAAAAATTGCAAGAATTTCACTTCAGGTCGCTTCATTTAGTGTAATAATTACACAATCTCCATCGTGCGGGAGGTGAACAGTGAAGCATACCCCCCTCCCACACCTCCCCCGCTCGTCGCTTGGCCCCTCGCCTGTGCGTTCGCGCGCCGAGCAGGGGCGCGTACAGGGGGCCAGGGAGTCCGGACCCCCCTTGCTCGCGCAAGAAAACGCATCTAGAGGTGTAATTTAAAGACATTCTGGGGGAGTGCCCCCCAGACCCCCCTTCGCGTGCTCGGCGAACTTGGGTTACGGTTAGACCCCCCTTGTGTAACAAATCCTGTCACGCCCCTGCCGAGCAAATTGCCAACATTGAAAATGAACCCCCCGCCCAATAATAAAGCTGGCTACGGGCCGGATACATACATCAACTGTTAGAGAAAATGTGTTGAAATTCTACGAATATTAGTGTTCAAAGTTCTCATATAATTTATTCGCTATTCTCGATCCATATGGATCAAGTACAACCACCGGTGAGGCGTCCAATTACTAAGGGCTTCGTAATCATGTGTATTTACCATTTAAGAGAGTAACTAATGAGAATGTATATATATATATAATATAATATATATACTTATATATAATATACGCGTGATATTACACATGACGCAGGCATACCAATGCAGCGGAGTTCTCCTTGGGCAGAGGTAGGAGTCAAGGTACCGACGTCAAAACCGTCAGAGAGGGATGAACAAGCGCGGGAGTGCGTCTGTGCTCAACGGGTGCAGCACGTCGGCGTCTCCCTACGATCACCTTACTGAGTGCTCAAACATGTGATGATACGCGTGCCGGGTTGTGTATGATGTGTGTGTGTGTGTGTGTGTGTGTGTGTGTTGTGTTGTGTGTGTGTGTTGTGTGTGTGTGTGTGGTATTTGTGTGTGTGTTGTGTGTGTGTGTGATGTGTGTGTGTGTTGTGTGTGTGTGGTGTGTGGTGTGGTGTGTGTGGGGCGCTGGTGTGTGTGTGCGTGTGTGGAGTTGCCATGTCTGAATCCGTGCACGGTGCGTGCGTGCGTGCGGAGTGAGTGAGGAATGTGACAACCGTAGAGAAATCGAGAGAACCGATTCACAGTGTGCGTATAGCTCTCATTTTGGCGGTGATTGCTCACGTATCGCGCGGTAGTAGGAAAAAGATAGAAGAAGAAGAAGAAGAAGAGACGAACGACGCAGGAGGAGGAGGAGAGAGGAGGAGGAGGAGGAAGGAGGAGGAGGAAAGCTTGTGTATACTCTCCCCGGTACGCTTCTCACTCTGTCTACACTAGTACTAATTAACTACCGTCATTCGATGACACGGAAATCCAGTTCACTGCAGCGCGCGCGAAGAGAATATCAGATATGATCTACTGTGGAATGTTCGTGTTTGCTTGGCGTTGACAGCCTTCCAGTGTTTCTCTCCACAGCTGCGTGGTTCGTAAGATGCTTCGTGGTGAAGGTAACGGGGGCTGCTACACATGGTAGGAACGAACCCCTCCCACCGTAAGCAAGGCATTACGATGGTCGCTTCTCACACGCACACAACGCCAGTGTGCTACGTCACCATCAATAACACCTATGTCGATTATTTACAAGAATTATACCTATCTATATATAGGATTATGGCTCAAGATTATCACACCTCTCCTTTCTATTTTTGCTCTCGCGCTTGCGCATGCTCTCTCTCCTCCTCTCGTCCTCTTTCCTCTCCTCTTCCCTCCCTTTTCCTCTTCTCTCTCATTCCTCATCTCCTCATCTCCTTCTCCTTCTCTCTCTCTCTCTATCGCATCTCTCTCCTCTCTGTGTCCGCACGCATCGCTACTAATTTGTACGTCCAGCATGCGCATGCCAGAGCCGGCGGCAGCTCTGCTAGCTAGCGTCAGCGTCGCGCGTCGCAGTCGCTCGCTCGTTCATCGTCAACATCTATGACAATCACGGCGTCATGCATATGCAGAGAGCGCGATAGCAACAAGCCGTAACGCGATGATTTCGCGAAGACATTTTGACAATAAATTTTTGACTACCTAACTCAACTACTATTAATATATATATTAATCAAGAGCTAAATAATAAGAGGTATTATTAAGCTCTTGATATATATATGGTGTGCTACCTAGCCACACCCATTAACTGTGTAACGTCATGCTGTGCGATCGAGCTACTGCTACTGCTCTCCGTGGCGGCTCGACGATAGTCGGGCGGCGGCGCGGCGGCGGCGCGGCGCGGCGGCGGCGGCGGCGGCGGCGGCGACGGCGACGATGACGATAACGACGATACGGCGCGGCGGCGATATGTAATCTTTCTGTAATTGCCTCGCTATGTTCCGGCCGCGGCCTCACACCCGCTGCTTTGATGACGTGTAAGGACGCCGATGCAGGCCGAGAATGCTCTCCGTCTCTCTGCTCTCTCTTTCGGGCGCTGTCTTTCAACCATTTACATCCCCGTACCGCCCTTGTGGTAATCTTTAAAACGCGCG